AGAATGTGGGGTTCTGTGGGAACTGAGCCCCGGGCAGAGAGTCAGGCAGCCAGCATATCTCCAGGAGGAAATGACAGTTCTGCAGAAGGTTTCTGTCCTCTGTACACAGTCTTAGAAAGTGCCAGAAGGCTAATCGCTGAGGGGCCTCCTTGGATGAAGAGCGTGGCCAGCCAGGTGGAACGTTCGCAGGGAACCTTGTGCCCACCTGCACCCTGACACGCTCCCACCCAGGCCCTGGCGCCCCATAAACTCACCCCAACTGCTGTCCAACCCCAGGGGGAGGGATACCAAGAAGGACTGAGAGGAAGTTTTCCACCGTGCGTGAAATGAGCACTCAGATTCAGAAATTAAGTTAAACGGTAGAAGTTAAACTATAGAATAACTGAACTACTGAGCTGATGGCCTGCAGTGGATACCCATCACCTACAGCTGAGAAAATGGAAGCTCAGAGAGGACAAGCCAGAAGCTCAAGGCCACCTAGTTCACATGGAGGTGAGGCAGAGTCGGAACCAGACCCAAGCTCGTGAGACTCCAAGCTCGGCACTGCCTGCCTTAAAAATGCAGCAGGAGGACCAGACACCCATCAAGAAGGACGGGTCAAATAAATACTGGGCAGAGAGAGAGCCTGTATACCAAGATGGAATGATCGTCAAGATATGCCACAAAGTAAAAATAAAAGTGCACAGTTGCTTGTACAAATCGCTGGTATATGCAGTAAATAAATCTAGCAAGACCCAAGGAGCTGCTATGCTGATTGTCTTCTGGAAGAAACTGGGGGGTGGGGAGACAGACAGGGGAAGAAGACTGTTCCTTGTACAACCTTTTGTATCTTTTGGATTTTGAATCAAGAGAATGTATTACCTATTCATATTCAAAAAACAACATTTTTTATAAAGCGAGTGACAGAGAATCTCCTTGTTCAGCCCTCTTAAATGTGATGAAACAGACTCCCACTGAGCACCCAGGGTGTGCCAAGGCCCTGGTGGGGGCTGTGGGTTATGCCATGACGAGCAGGATACTGCCTCCAACCACCAGGAGCCCACTTACCCCAGGCAACCTTGGCCCCCGAGGCGGGGTGGGGGGATAAGCGACCACAGGACTCCCACAGCTTCTCGCTGTTCCGCACTGACCAGGACCCCCAGCCACCCTGCGCTGTGAGCCTCAGTAGGGTGAGGGCCGAGGGTCCATCGCAGGGCCAGCCTCTGTGTGCCTCATGACCACGGGGCAGTCTGAGCCAAAACCCCTCCGGGCCACACTGCTCCTTCCTGGCACAGGCTGGGGCGGGGCGGTGGGGAGGTGGGGAGCCTGAGCAGCCTCCCTTCTGTATTTCGATGGAAAGGATCGGACACAGTCATGCCCTTTCTTCTTGGGCTGCAAGTATTCACTGCTTGTAACAAGACGGCAGTTACCATGCGGGTCAAATAAGCAGTGAGCTCTGAGATAGTTTCAGCCTGGGTGGGAAGAGTGAGTGAGTCCAGGTTCTCTGTAAATGTAGCTGCAATCCACCCCATTGGAGCACTGCCTGCCTCCCCTTCCTCTTTCCCCGAATTTTCTGCCCCATGTCTTCCCCCGACCAGGCTGCCCCAGCCCCTCCTAGGAGCAAGCATCAACAGCCAGCATATCCTGACTTTTCACCACGTGCCCCAGGGTTGTCCTCATGTCGTCCTTGAGATCCGGGAAGAAATAAATGCCTCCCTTGGGGTGAAGCTATGCCAGTTGGGGTCCCCAAGACTCGAGGAGAGGAAGCTCTTCTGGAGGAGTCTCAGGTCAGTGTCTGGCTCTATGAAACCAGTGAACCACAAAATGCTCTCCCAGCTGATGTTTCCAATGACCCTTGAGTTACCCCGGGGGGCGCCCTGGACAGGACAAGGGTAATTGCCCAAGATCTGTTCACCCACTAGCTAGAGTAGCAGAACTGAGATGTTAACCCCGGGTCCCGACCCCAAATCTCAGGCTCTCTTCACACTATGCCTGGAAGAGAACTCAGAGGTCACTTAGTACAACCTCACATTTTCAGATGATGAACTGAGGCCAGAGAGGGAGAGGGGCATCTGCAAGGTCACACAGCGTGTGAAAGGCAAAGCCAGGTCTCAAGAACCCAGCCCCCTGTCTCCCAGTCTAGAGGTGGTTTTGTCCTCTGTCGAGGGGATGAGAAAGGCAGGTTGGTTGAGATAACCTGCCACTTTCTCCCTTATGGCTTCCCTTATGGCTTCCCTGATTTGTCCCGACTCTTCATTTCTCACTTGCTGCCCCTAGACCAGTGCTCGTGACCTCAAGCATCTTGGGGAACAGGCAGGAGAGTTACTGAGCGAGGTCATCTAGGCTGTCGACTCGAAGATAAGACAGCACCGAAGGATGATGACTGTGTTCAACTGGGACGTGCTTTCTCTGCCTAAAAGCTTCAAATCCAACTTCTGAAAATATCAATGCTTTGGGGCGACTGGGTGGCTCAGTCTGTTGAATGTCAGACTCTTGGTTTCAGCTCAGGTCATGATTTCAGGGTCATGGCATCTCAGGGTCATGGGATCAAGCCTTGCTTGGGATTCCTTCCCCCTTCTTCTCCCTCCCCTCTGCTCCTTCCCCCACACCACCACCACGCTCTCTCTCTAGAATAAATAAATAAAATCTTTGCAAAAAGTCAATGCTTAAAAAAATTCCAGTGGGGGGTGCCTCAGTTGTTAAGCGACTGCCTTCGGCTCAGGTCATGATCCTGGAGTCCCGGGATCGAGTCCCACATCGGGCTCCCTGCTTAGCAGGGAGTCTGCTTCTCCCTCTGACCCTCCCCCGTCTTGTGCTCTCTCTCTCTCTCTCAAATAAATAAATAAAATCTTTAAAAAAAAAATATTCCAGTGGGTTTTGTGGCAGTGGGGGGCACAGATGGAACACAATGGGCCATGAGTTGGTGATTGTGGAAGCAGGTCGTTGGGTATATTGGGTTATTAATACTCTTCTGTAATGTGTATTGTGTATTAATACTATTGTGTAATGTGTAATGTGTAAATGTGTATATGTTTTAAATTAACCATAATAAAAAGGTTTTTCTGTTAATGAGCTATCAAAACACATGTCGGGTCCTCGAGCCATTTTAGTTCCACAGGCCACCAATTAGCAAACTTTACTCTTGACATTCCAGAATATCCCCCTGGCCATCTGTATGCTTCATTCTGATTCTCTCTGATTCTCTCTCTCTTCATTCTGAGCCTAGGATAGGGCAGGGGAGGGAGGGAGGAAGGCAGGGAGGAAGGGAGGGACGGGGGGGGATGTAGGGAGGGAGAAACATTGGCTTGACAGGGCTTGGAGCTGGTCATCATCAAGGAGCACAGACTCTGGGATGTGGATGGAACCCCACGAAAATGGATAGAAGTCACACACCCACCCGCCCCCCCCCCTCCCCGCACTGTCTAGCTCCTCCCCTCTCCCCCCTCTCCCGCCCCGGCCTGCTCTCCCTGTGCTTCATGTATCTTGCTCATCTTTCTTGAACTCTCCTTACCACCTGGCAAACCAAGGGAAACAAGCAAGTCTAGGGGCTGATGGGCTCAGTCTGCAGGAGGGGACATATCCCATCTAGATGAAAAACAAAATTCACGAGTGGCCTGGTACCTCCAGGGCTAATATGAATCTAGAGTTGTGCTGGCTTCCAGCAAGACCTCCCCAGCAGGATGTGGAAGGCACGAGCTTTAGGGTGGAAATGGGGTGGGAAGAGAAGAAGTGGGTTTTATTTTTCCTTCTCCATTGCTTAGGCTGACTCCCAGGCACCATCATCTCTCTCCTAAACCCGAACATCTTCCCGGTTTCTAAAGTGTCCCCCCCCCCATTTATGATATCATTGAACCCTCCCAACCCTGTGAGGCAGGTATCATCCTTATTGTGTAGATGAGGACATAGAGGCTCCACATGATCCAGTGACTTGCCCAACATAGCACAGCTTGTAAGTGGCGGAGCCCAGGGCCGCTGACTCTAATGTTAGGGTTCCTTCCTCTACCCCAGATTGGAGGCGGGTGGAAGCAGTTCACTGTCACTTGCCTCCATGGCTCTATCTGGGATGATAGAAAAAGTAAACACTGAGTTTTCTAAGTAGTTGCCTAAGGCGGCAGGAAGTTTTGCTGGGCACTACTTAGCTGCAAATGTGTTGCAGCTTTTTAATTAAGGGGGATTGTTGGAGAGTGATGGTCTTACTTGAAGGGGTCTTCTGGGATGACATGGAGAGGGGGCTTTTGGATTTCCTCATGTATTTTGTGTGAGGACCATACAGCCCCCAGATCTCTCCCGAGTGTGAGATGTACAGAGAAGTTGAAATAAGACACTGATATTGTCCACCTGAGCTAGGGACAGAGACTTCAGGTCTTACATCAAATCTTAATTCTGTCTGCCTTTACTGTGTGACCCCCAGGCCAGACTCTTCCCTCTCTGGTCCTCAGAGCATCCCTCCAGCAGCCAAACCAAGGCCATCTCCCTGCCAGCTCACTGCCCAGCAAGACTCTACTCCGTTGTAACCCTCCTAGAGAAGGTGAGGAAGGGCAGGATGGTCACTGTTCGGAGGAAACATCCCACACCCCTCGCTGGTTTGGGAATTTCACACCAGGGAAGTGATAGGCATCAGAAGTAGGGCAATGGTGAGGAGGAGGAATGGGACAGGCTGGGGTTGGACCCAGCTATGAAGCTCTGGCCTGTACAGAGGTTGCTTTTCATGCCTTTTTCCTCTGTTAATTTGGCTTGTTTTCCAAACATGGGTCAAACAATCTCCCCCCAGAAGCAGCAGCAGAAGGAAATGTTATTAAAAACGAGTCCGTTAGTGGGCATGGTGTGTGGATGAAGTCTTTGGGAGTTTTGGCTGCCAAATAAAGACTTTATTGTTGTCATTCCTCCTTTCCCAAGCTCCCTCCCTCCCTCCCTTCCTCCCTCCTCCCTCCCTCCCTTCCCTCCTCCTTCCCCTCCCTCCCTACAATCTGCCTGTCCCTCCCCCTAACCTAACCTCCCCACCCCGCTAGGATCTGGTAGAGGAAAAGTCAGGCAAACACAAGCACGCAGGCACCACTGGGAGATCAGAACTTCTAGCAGACTCTCTGCTGCCACAGCTCCACCGAAGGGTGGGGGAGGAAGAGGGGGAGCCTTGCCGGGGGACTAAACTCACAGCTGAGAGGAGAGGCAGGTGTGTGCAGGTAAGCCCAGGGGGGAGATGGGGGGGGGGAGACCCCTTCCTCCAGCAGGTTTCCTCCTACTCTGTCCAACTGACCTTACTGATCCATTTCTCTTCCTTCCTTCCTCCCACCTTTTCTCCTTTTGATGTAGGAAAGACGTCTTCCAAATGAGCTCCAATGAGTCTTCCACATTTCCTCTGCACCCGCCTGCTCTACCTTCTCTCCCTCGTTCTGTGCCCATGTATTTGCTTGATGCAAAAGTTCAACTTTCTCGGTTCAGAGGTTTGTTGTAGCACAGGGAGTTAGGCTGCACACGGTATTCCTACACAGCAGGTGTTTCTATGGAAACCCGACTCTAGAACCCATTTCTTTGCACCTTTCCCATGTTGTCACACCCCGCCACAGGGGCACACGTCACAGGGAGGCTGCGTGTTCACTGCCCACGCACACATACACACACACATGATAGGAAGGTGTCCTGTCCGTTCAGCTCCACTCTGCATCCCACATGCAGAGCTAGAGCACAGCCTGGACGCCCCCAGAAACACACACACACACACACACACACACACTGGCTCTCTCTGTCTCTCTGTGTGTGTCTCTCTCTCCATCTTGTCTCTCACATTCTCACAAGCTTCCTCAGCTGGAAGAGCAAAGAGAAAGTGCGTCTTCCCACTGAGATGGCAGAGCCGAAAGAAAATCATGTGTCCTGAGTTGAGGCCGAGAGGGAGGAGATGAACCAGAGCAAGCACTGGAAGGGTTTTTTTCATTCTTCAGAACTTAATTGGGTAGGAGGGAGAAAAAAGTGCCTTTCCAACCTGTACAGTATCTTCCCAGTAGTTCTGAATTTCCTTCTCTGGCCCAAAGCGCTTGGCTTTTGGAAAGAAAGGGAAGAAAGCAACCCAGCTTCCAAGACTTGGGGGTCGTAATTCCCAGCTCTGGAGGGCAACTCATTTATTTTTTCTGCAGGCAGCCAGAAAAGATTTCTCTTTAAAGCAATTTCAAAACCATCCCAGGTTGGCAAGGGATCCTTGTGGCAGAGGGCAAAAAGACAGTAATTTCTGAATCAGTCAGGACGGGGGAGCTAAAGTGGGTCACTGAATGGGGCTCCTTTCCAAGTAGCCCCTCTCTTCCCCCAACTTACTCAACTTTGCAACAGCAGAGAGAGTGTTCTCCCAGGGCAGGTAGCATGGGCAGATCAGGGTCCCCGAATGTGGTTGATCTTCAAAATCTCCCCCATCCTGACTGATTCAGGGGGGTAGGGGAGCTTACTAAAAATATAGATGCCTGGACCCCTCACTCAAGACCTTCCAGATGGAGCCCAGGAATCTATTGTTTAGTACCTGGGGGGTTCCTGACAGTCAGCCAGGGTTTGAGAACCTGAATCAGGGGCCTGAGAGTCACCCATGCTGGGACTGAAGAGCCCAGGACTCAGGGCAGTGTTAGCTGGGCAGAAGGGCTGTGTGGTTTCCTGGACAAGAACCGTCTGGTGGAGGAGCTCCAGAGTCTCTCAGATGGGCCAGCCTGTTCCTTCAGGTGCTCGTTCCCACCCCCTTCTTCCCCACAAGCACCGGCAACCACATCATAGGGAACATCCCAGAAAGTTCCCCCAAGATAGCTCCAAAGCGCTTATGTTTCCTCTCACGTGCTAATCCGCCTGCTCTGGGCACTGGACTGGGCCCTTCCCCATCCCTTCTAGATCTCCTCTCCCCTTGCCCCACAGCTGTCTGTCCTGATGTGCTCAGAGAGAGGACAGGCTGAACACCAAGCTCTGCAATCCTCCTCCCCTTCCCCAGTGGGCAGCCCCATTTACTGGGCAGGTGAGGGAAGCATGTCAAGGCTGGAAGGGGCAAAAAAGCCAGGTGCAAAAGGTTGGGGAGGGGAAGTCACGGATCACAGGGGGCTCCAGAGCCAGCTGAGGAGGTGAGACTGTGCCTTCCCTGGCCAGCATCCCCTCACCCGCTACAGAAAGGCTTTCAGGTGGGGTTAGTGAATTGAAAAGACAAAGTGAGCCTTCTACCAGGTGGCTGGGGGCTCCTATGGTCTCTCCGACTCGTTGGTTCTAAGACCCAATGGTGGTCTCACAGGCCCCAAAGGGAGGATGTTGCTCTGTGTGGAAAAGCTGGGGAAAATCCAGAAGCCAGTACCCACCTACAAGAATCCCTGCGTCTGGGTGAAGGGCAGGGCTGCCCTCTGGCCAAGCTAGAGGGACAGAGATCTAATTACTTTGAAAATATGTCAACAACAGCTTAATGTTCACTGAGCACTCACTTTAAACACATTCACTCATTTAGCCCTCAAAACAATCTGGTAAGAAGGTGTTAATATGCCCATTTTACAGATAAGGACACTAGAGCCCAGTAGAGGTAGGAGGTTTGCCCAAGTGTATCCAGCTAAGCAACTGGAGACTTGCAGGGTTGGGACCCAGATCTATGAGTGCTCAAGGCATCGGACAGATTCTTCTAGGCTTTCTTCAGGGGTTGGAGATAGTAGGGGCTGGAGGCAGAACGAAGGATATGGTGAGGTGCCAGGCTGTCAGAGGAGGACGGCCATCTCACCCCATTTCGTCCCTAGTCCCTCAGAATGGAAAACATGCTCTTCTGGACTAGTGGCCTCAGGCCAAAAAAACTTCATTCTGTTTACACTTCGCCTTGTGGTAGACACTGGGGAGACAGATGGTCTCTCCATAATAGTGTTATATTTATTTTTAGTATTTTTTGATCTGCGGTTCATTTTAAAGTCGCTTATCACACTTGTTTCTGACAACAACTGGGTGAGGAATATAGGGATAGGAAAGATTTGTTATCCCCGTTTTACAGGTAAGGAACCTGAGGCTGAAGACAGGCTCACGTAACTAGGTAGCGGAAGACGGGCTGAGAACCCTCACCCCCTGTCTAGTATCCCCACTGCCCCAGTCAGGCTCACCCTTATACGGATTCACCCCCCAGGAAAGGGGCAGCTGCACCAATAGTGTGTTGAATTCATTCATGATATCAGCCCTTTTGTTCCCTGAGGACCACATGAGCCCTACTTGGAGGCCTTGAAAGGGGCTCAGGCAGCCTGGATGGGGAGGGGGGCTGTCTCAACTCCTCTGCTAACAAGTGACCATCTGATTCTCCTGGCTTCCAACCTCCTTCTGGGCTTCTGGAAGAGATAAAGGGAGCAGGATAGCTTTCAGAAGTCTGAGTGTAGAACAGAAAGAAGGGAACAAAGAAAGAGGGTCACCCCAATGTCCATGGGTGTGGCTCTGGGGCGGGGGGCAGCCCCATTATCCATGGCAGGGTCACTGGCTGAATTAAGCCATGGAGGCTTAGGGGTGACCAACTAGGCAGGAAATTTGACAAGAACAAGACTGCCAGTGAGTACATTTGACCCTTGGAAAAGCACAGGGGTTAGGGTTGCCAACCCCAACAACACAGTCAAAAATCTGCCTATAACTGTTGCTTCCCCCCAAACTTAACTACTAACAGCCTACCATTGACCAGAAGCTTCGCCAATCCATCAACAGTGGATTAACACATACTTTGTAGCTATATGTATTATACACTGCAGTCTTAAAACAAGGTAAGCTAGAGAAGAGAAATGTGATTTAAAAATCCTAAGGAAGAGAAAACACATTTATAGGACTGTACATATATTTATCGAAAAATATCTGCGTATAAGTGGACCCACAATGTTCAAACCTGTGTTGTTCAAGGGTCAACTATAGTGTGGAGTAACCCTTCTTCAACCCGGGGAGACATACCCAACCTTACTCCCAGCCCAATCCCAATTCCAGACTCTTTGTGCAAAGCCAATTACCCTTAAACTTGCTCGTACTGACTTGACAAACCCACGTGAACTTCAACCCAGCCCTGCCCTGAGCCTCAACGTTGCACTGGTCCTGGGTGTTCGAGCCTTCAACGAATGAATTCACGAGCCAGGTAGGGATGAGGGTTATCTCACTTTAAAAATCAAGTCTCCCGAGAGAATTGGCTCTTTTATAAATAAATAGGTGAATAAATGAACCCCCTGCCATTGGTAGAGATTTTCTGCTCTACAACATGCCTTCATGTGTGTGATCTCATTTCATCCTCACACAAATGAAGAGCCTGGGGAGGAGGGTCAGAGCCAGGATGCAAGACCAGATCTCCAATACTTGGAACTGACATTCACGGAGAACTCTCGCAGGAAATGTTCGGAAGTGAGAGAGTGAATGTTGGGTTGGGCTTTGCTCCCGTCAAGCAGAGGCTCTCTTGAGCCAGTGCTGGTGCCCAGAACTGTGGTTGCGGGTCCACAGGAGTCCGCCGACGGAGCAGGGAGCGCTGCCCAGCAGAAAGCTGGGGGTGGGGAGGTATGCTTACAAAGGCATACGAAACTCAAAAATCTGCACACACTCATGACCCACCCTAGGTAAGGGAGTTTATGATTGGATGGAAAGCTCTGGAAGGCAGGAGCGGAAGAAAGTGTGACTTTGGGCTTTGTTGAGGGGGGCGGGTTCTGACTCCCCTGGGAGTCCAGGGACCTCCACCCTGTCACACAGATTCTGCTTTCGGGGACTTAGGACCTTGCTGAGGACCGCTGGGAGCAACGGCTGCGGTCAGGACCTCCCCTCTGGACACGCAGGCTCCAGCAGGAAGAGGCGTAGCCCAGTGCAAAAAGCCTTAGAAATGAACTCTATTTTCTCAAGAAGGCAGAATGGACGTGCACGCGCAAACACACACACACACGCACACACACACACAGTGGAGAGGGGTTGAATCCTGGGGCTTAGAGAAGGGGAATTGAACAGATGCAGTGTTTCTCCATGGAACAGGCACAGAGAACTTTTCCTCCGAAACCTCCCTGTGGCTCTTCGAGGAGCTTGGCCAGCCCCAGAGGTCTGGAATGTAAGAGGGTCAGAAGGTGGCTTGGGGCTTGGGACTTGGGGGGTGGGGGTTGGGGGGGGAGATAGAGAAGTTCCCAAAGGGTCTGGCGCAGGAGCTGGGGATGGGGAAGACTTGTGCTCACTGTGGTTGGAAGGAGCACTGTCCCTCCTAACAGTGAGCACCAGGGCTGCCCGGGCCCTGAGCTCCCCCGGAGACACCCATGAGCAAAGGCCAGCTGCCCAGTGCCGGAGCCCCACAGAGCAGCCTTTGCTGGAGGTTCTGGACAAGTTTTACTTGCTTAACTCAAGGCCCAATACCTGGTAGATGCTTTTGGTGACAAAGGCAAGGGAGGGAAATGGGGAGCCTCCCTGAAGCGGAGCTTCACATCCTGAGGGATTTCTGGCTTATTTCTGGCTCCCACGTAATCAGAAAATAAAGAAATGCCAAAACAAATAGGGTCACAAAAATTGGGGCTTTTAAAAATGTTTGTGCTCAGCATACTAATGCTTTAACCACCCCTTAAAACGTATATGACTGCTATTTTCAAGAAAATTACAGGACTTATGAAATATTAATTCATAGTTCACCAGTCCTAAGTGGTGTGGGGCCCGGCAACAAGACTCAAGTTTACAATGCATGTCTGCTCTTTTCAGTCCTTGTGGGACTGTTGGATCCTCAGCTGGAGGTAAAGCCGAGAATCTAACTGCACGGTTTTTCCTCGTGATAGGAGACCCAGGGAAATGGCCCTCGTGGACCCTCTTGGAGAGGCCTGCCTGGGGAGAGACCCCCTTAGAGGGAGATGGAGAACCACAGAGACTGCAGGGCAATCTCTTCCCTCCTTTCTCCTCATCAGTCTTCCTTCCATCCTTCCCTCCCTCCCTCCCTTCTTCCCTCCCTCTCTCCCTCTTTCCCTCCCTCCCTCCCATTCTCAGAGTACTGTGTAAGGATTCACACACATACACACAGTGGACATGTGAACATGGGCTTGCTTATGTGTGTGGTGTGGGGAGGTGTGTGTGTGTGTGTGTGTGTGCCTGAGAGAGAGAACAGGTCAGGTGTGGAGGGTGTGTGTGTGAAAGGTACAGGGAGACACCCTCTACCCCTCGGGTTGAGATCTGCCCTCTCTCCTGTTTCTTGTCACATTCGGTGCCTTTCGAGCATCTGGCCCAGAACTAAGCAGCTGGTGAGAGGTTTCTATTGTCTTCCTTTGAGCAAGGCCAGCGAGAAGCATCCAAGGAAGGAGTGCAAGCTGATGGGGGCTCAAAGGAAAGCCAGCGAGAGGCCTGGCACAGGGGCAGGATCCCAGCGTCCAGATGCAGCTGGAGACACATGGCGGCCCACCCTAGGTCAGAGAACCCCAGGAATCCTGTATCCCCCGCCCCGGGGCCCCAGGAGGGGAGGGGCAGACATCACCTCATAAGAAAGCAGCAAGGAGGGCCAGGGGAAGCAGTGTGGGGACAGAGACGCTGGCTGTAGCCCAGAGGGGAGGGTCATCGGGCTGATGGCCCTTTGGAGGACAGGGTGCAGGCCACCCCTGCCTGCACCCCTCCTGGCTGGCTGGCCAGTGAGGGGAGGAAGCTGGGGGGAGCTGCCACTCTGTCAGCAGCTCTGGTCCTCTTGCTCTTTCTCCAGCTTAATTAAACTCAACCCCCATGATCCTATCTGAAGGCTCACGAGAGCCATTGGGGAGCATGGCCCCAAAATAGCCTTCCGTGACCTATTCCACTATGTCACAGGGCCAGCAGGAAATTCTTCTTCATATCCAGTCTCAACACCGCCAGCTCCAGTGGATATGGGGGCGGCGAGAACGTGTCAGAAGAAAGGAAAGTGATTTCCCCACAGCTTTTGATCCCTGCCCTGTTTATTTTCACAGGAGCCTCCACATCTGGGGAGAAATTCTTGGTGTGCCTCTGGCTGGCAAAGAGCAGCGTTCCCTGAGCTGAGCGCAGGGGTGAGGAGCTAGCAGGGGCAGACACAAGACACGAGTGTGTCTACAGCACTTTCCTTCCTTCCCAGGACCTCCGCAAGCCCTGCTCTGGAAGGCAGGAGACCTGGGTTTTTGTCCTGGGCTTGCTGTTCAAACTTTCTGGCCTGGGCAAGCCACTCCATCCCTCCAGGACCTAATTTCTATAAACAGTAGAATCTGGGCTCGATTGGTGGATTTCAAACCATTTTTAGCAATGCGGAGTTTCTTTCAAATACATGCTTTGGCCAAACCTCTTTATATAACAGATTTAAAAGCACAGAGCTGCTCAGGTTGACACAGGGGTGAGTTGGCGGTGCCCTGGGGCCACCCACTCGGTCTCCCTCCCTCAGGGGACTCTACAGAAAGAGGGGCACAGTCTGAAAATCACTGAATTATGGGATCTCTAAGGACCCTTCCAGATGGACCACTTAGGACTCTATGGTTCATGTCTCCTAACATCCCTCTTCTAGGAACAGGGATGATTTGCTTATGCTGCAAGTGGGGAGACCAAGTGCTAGAGAGGTTAAGGGTCTTCTCCAGCAAGCCCCAGTGCTCCTGATTCACAGCCAATGTGCTTTCTGCAGGATGGCTCATCCTCACCAGAGCAGGCAAGGCCTGTAGGCCGGGAGTCCAGACCCTCAAGTCCTTGTTATTTTCTTACCTGCTGGATACAGGCAGACGAAGAGATGCTTCGACAGGTCTCTCCCACGGCCCCTCTGGAGCCCATCCTGGCCAACTCTCGTGCCAAGACAGGGCCTCTAATTACAGGGCCCAGAAGGCTAATGACTCCCTGTGTCTCCTCCCTGCAGGTGCGTCACCTGGATCATGAGGTCATCCCTCTGCTGGCTCCTCCCACTTCTCCTCATCTTGGCCTCAGTGGCCCAAGGCCAGCTGACAAGACGACCGAGACCCAGGCCCAGGCCCAGACCCAGGCCCACCCCCAGCTTTTCTCAGCCCCATGAGCCATTGGAGCCTACAGACCTGCCCCCTCCCCTCCCACCAGGCCCTCCCTCAATCTTCCCTGACTGCCCCCGGGAATGCTACTGCCCCCCGGATTTCCCATCTGCCCTCTACTGTGACAGCCGCAACCTCCGAAAGGTCCCTGTCATCCCACCCCGCATCCATTACCTCTATCTGCAGAACAACTTCATAACTGAGCTCCCAGTGGAGTCCTTCCAGAATGCCACGGGCCTGAGGTGGATCAACCTGGATAATAACCGAATTCGCAAGATAGACCAGAAGGTACTGGAGAAACTGCCCAGTCTGGTATTCCTCTACATGGAGAAGAACCAGCTCGAAGAGGTGCCCTCAGCCCTGCCCCGGAACCTGGAGCAGCTGAGGCTGAGCCAGAACCAGATCTCCAGAATCCCGCCCGGCGTCTTCAGCAAGCTGGACAGCCTGCTGCTCCTGGATCTCCAACACAACAGGCTGAGTGATGGCGTCTTCAAGCCTGACACCTTCCAGGGCCTCAAGAACCTCATGCAGCTCAACCTGGCCCACAACATCCTGAGAAAGATGCCACCCAAGGTGCCCACGGCCATTCACCAGCTCTACCTGGACAGCAACAGGATCGAGACCATCCCTAATGGCTACTTCAAGGGTTTCCCCAACCTTGCCTTCATTCGCCTTAACTACAACAGGCTGTCAGACAGGGGGCTCCCCAAGAACTCCTTCAACATCTCCAACCTGCTCGTGCTCCACCTGTCCCACAACATGATCAGCAGTGTGCCCGCCATCAACAACAAGCTGGAGCACCTGTACCTCAACAACAACAGCATAGAGAGTGAGTGGGGGCAGGGCCACGGCCACGGCCATGGCCAGGGAAGTGGAGGCTCTTACTGGCCATGGCCAGGGAAGTGGAGGCTCTTATTGCCTCAATCCTTTCTAGGAGCTTGGGGTGAAGGGGGTGGGGGGTAGAGCAAAAAAGTATCCAGTTTGGCACTGGACTTCAAATCTTGACCTTGCCACTTACTATCTGTGTGACCTTGAACAGATATTTCACCTCTCTGGGAAGTTGTCTCATCTGTAAAATGAGAATGGGAGCAATACCTTCGGTCACAAAGTCGATATGAGGATTTAATAGGCTAATATGGATAAAGTGCCCAGAATACCATGCTTGGAGGGTAAGAGCTTTTCCTCCTCTGTCCCTTCTCGCTAGCCCCAGGTTCTCTGCCCTCCAGATCTACAGTTGGGTAGACACGGAGTGCAGTCCCAGACATTCTCGTGAAAGCAGAACAGTGACGTGTTCTGAGTGTCACTACTCTGAAATGTCCTGCGTCTGTCCCCTGTACAAGCTGCCAGTTATGAGAGGAAAGCTGAGCCTAGGTTTTGAGGAATCTCTAAAAGATGTTCACAGCAAAGCAGCTACATACTTGGGGTAGGCAGCTGGTAAAGACCCGGCAGCCAGAGCGCAGGCGCTTTCCGAGTCTAGCTGGAAGGCGGGAATATTTCATCATGTAAGAGCACATTTAAGGTAGAATTTGCCTAAGCTACATTTATAGGGTTCTGGGCTTGGGGTAAAGATTGCAGCTCAGAAGAAGCTGGAAGTCCCACTTTTGCTTCGATCAACAATGTCAGCTCTGAGCAGAGCATCGACAGAAAGCTTCAAAAACAAGAGAGTATATTATCTGGTCCTTGAACAAAACCAGGCTCCATCCACACCAGGAATGTAGCAGCTATAGTGTTGAAGGGGACCAAGGGGAAAAGGCAGCACCCCTAAGATAATATTAGGAATCCTTAGTTTCCAAGCCAAAGAATGAGAGGGAGATTATTGAATTCCTACAATCTTGAAACAAATGGATGGGAGAACAGTTTCGTTCACTCATCTGGGATAATTACAGGAAGTTGGGAGGGCTTTTTTTAAAGCTTGCAAAAAACAAATTCAGGAAAAGGGGAAACTGTTTAATTTCATCCTGCAGGTAGTGAACTGATGGAACGCATTACCCCAAAAGCTAGATAGGCCGAAAATCCAGGCAGAAAGAATACCTTACTCAATGGCCGGCAGGTCTCTATCAGGGTGGGGAAGGGCAGGCTTCTAGGGGATATCCTGCCTTTTGAGGCTGAAGTCAGAAAAATCACACCCCGTCCACCTGTATCCCCTGTGCCCAGCCTGTGTCCCGTGTCAAGGATGGACAGAGTGGGCAGAGCCAGCCCTAGGTCAGTGTGATGGCCATGTTCGCAGCAATGATCTTAATGTTGCCACCTGCCCCATCCTGGACAGTCTGCACAATGCCTTTGCCAACATCCTCTCATCTGGGGTGGGGGGCAGGCACCATTCTCACCATTTCACAGATTTGGGAACTAAATGTCAGAGCGGTAAGGTGACAGTCCAAAGTCACAGCGGTCGTGAGAAAAAAATCCACTGATGTCAGCGTTCTCCAGTGATGAAAAGAGAGAAAGAAGAAGATGAAGAAGAAGAAGAAGAACAACAACAACAACAACACCATCACTAACAACAACAACGCTGACCCCACAGATGATGAAAGAGGCAAGATTTAGGGGGAATACAGAGCTCATTCAGAAGATGACAAACCTGGTGTCATCGCACCAGAGGCGAAGGACACAGTGGAATCTCGTTTTCCATTTGAAAGCCTACCACACACGTGGCTAACGTTTAGCTGTCCAGCTTATCTCCCCTAGGACATCCCACTGTACTATTTACTACTCCCGGATTCTGCCTTGAGCGGCCTCTACAACTTCCTTCTTTTTTTTTGAAGATTTTATTTATTTATTTGACAGAGAGACACAGCGAGAGAGGGAACACAAGCAGGGGGAGTGGGAGAGGGAGAAGCAGGCTTCCCGCCGAGCAGGGAGCCCAATGCGGGGCTCGATCCCAGGACCCTGGGATCATGACCTGAGCCGAAGGCAGACGCTCAACGACTGAGCCACCCAGGCGCCCCAGGATTAAATCCTTTTTTTTTTTTTTAAGATTTTATTTATTTATTTGACAGAGAGAGACACAGCGAGAGAGGGAACACAAGCAGGGGGAGTGGGAGAGGGAGAAGCAGGCCTCCTGCCGAGCAGGGAGCCCAATGCGGGGCTCGATCCCAGGACCCTGGGATCATGACCTGAGCTGAAGGCAGACGCCCAACGACTGAGCCACCCAGGCGCCCCTACAACTTCCTTCAAACCGGAGGTCACCCCCACATCTCCACCTGCTGTGGTCCCACCCGTCTCTGAAGGTCCAGCTCACAGTTGACTTCCTCCACGACTCCACCGAGTGAATTTCCGATAACAATAGTTGATTGGTTCTGACTTAATTCATTCTACGAACAAGTAAAGTGAGCCTGGGGGTGGGGGGGGATAGGTTTGACTCACCCTTGGTCACACATTCCCAAGGTCGGCCAGTTCCAGAGAAGAGAACTCGAGTTCTTATCCTCAGTTGTCCACCCCCCTTCTCCTTCCTCATCTTTGCCTCCAGCCCCGTCTGTCCCGACCCCCCCCCACCTCGCCTGCTGACTTCTCCCTTCCTTCTCCACAGAGATCAATGGGACCCAGATTTGCCCCAGCAGTCTAGTTGCCTTCCATGACTTCTCCTCGGATCTGGAGAACGTGCCGCACCTCCGCTACCTGCGGCTGGATGGGAACCACCTGAAGCCACCCATCCCAGTGGACCTCATGATGTGCTTCCGTCTGCTGCAGTCCGTGGTCATTTAGGCCTTACTCTGCCCCCCGAATCTCCTCTGACCGCACTTGAATGCCGACGGCCCGGGGGCCCGGGCCCACCATTCGTGTCCTCTATCTTCCTTCCTCACTCCCAGCTTTGCCTTTCCTATCCCACCTTCCCGAGGCAGGGACTAGCCACATACTCTGCCACACCCGGGGCTTCTAGAGCAAGACTTCTAAGGGCTTGATTTGGTTCACCCAGCTCAAAGACACTCACTGCACACCCACGCTTCGTCCCAGAAGCACAGAGGTGCGTCTAAAGACATACTCTTCTCTCCTCCTCCTCTACCCTGTCACTCCTGGGTAAGTTGGGGCCATGGGCTGACATCTGGAACTTGGTCCTGGCCGAAGCAAGCAGAAGGCGGTCAGGAGCAGCCCAGAGGTGAGGTTTGGAAAGTCCTGCTGGAGACTCCACCATCATGGGCAGGTCCGGCCCCAACAGGCCCCTTAGCCACAGATCCCGCCTTCCAAAACTGCTGCTCCACCGCTCTGTTCGTTGGCACCAGACATTGTGCTGGCTCTTACCCAGCCCGCGTTCTCCAGCAAGGAAGTGCAAGGGAATGGCTGAAGGAGGGTGAAGGATCAGGGTTCCCGCAGGGGCCTGCATCTGGCAGTCTCTTCACAGGGCTAGCCGGGGCCCTCCTCTGCACACGCCCTTCTGGCCGGGCCTCTCTATCTCAAGAGTAAGAGCAGGGAGGAATAGTCAAGGAGAAGAATAGTTTGGGGAACCAGGAATCAGCCAGCAGGAGAGGGGTGGGAATCAGAGCCCCCCAGGGTTGGGCCCCTGTTCGTACAGATGGATCCCACAGCCCCCTTGCCAGTCTGGACAAGAGGCCTGATGCCCTGGGCCACACGGTGTCCACAGTGAAGGGTACAGAGCCACCAGCCCCGCCCCACCATCTGTTCCCTATCAGTGTGGATGGCCCAATCCTGTCCAAAGCCCGGAAGCAGTTCATGAGAAAGTGCTCTGGAAGGGGCGGAGCCCCGGGAAATCTCCCAAAAGCCTGTTCCACAAGCACAGATAGGCTTCCCCTCTAAGGCAGACACATCAGTGACACCTGGTGGCTGGTGCAGGTCACAGCGGGCTCCTGTCTTCCTCCTTGCCCCTCTTTGGGATGGTTTTACAAGGCCAAGGAGCTGGCCTCAGGCTCCAACTTGAAAAGGCCTGGGCGATGTGCACAGTCATCCCTCTGGGATGTAAAGGACGCAAAGGTACAGAGGTCTCGAGGCGGGGGCTGATCCCCATCATGAGTGAGCACAAGTGGGAACCCTCAGGAACCCAGGTGAGGAGGTGGTTTGTTCCTGTTTGCTGTCTGACCTCGTGGGTCCCTTCTGCCCTCAGCCCCCACGTCTGGAAACCAAGGGGGTGGCTAAGATGCCCCGCCCAGTTCTCTCCAGCATCCATGGTCTAGTCTGCAGCTCTGCTCTTTAAACCATGCTCTGATTATCTATTATCCCTGCCCTTTGCAGTAATTTATTCCCTGTATGGACTGTCCCTCCCCTTGAAATCCCCTCCCCTCCTTGCCTGGGCCAGGTGAGTGGCTTGGCTGGCCTCCAAGCAGAGCCTGGGCCCCACAGGGCTCACTCACCTTCCCCTTCTCCTTCACTCCTCCAGGAGATGCTGCCCCTCTATAGCTCCTTAGTGTATATGTTGGGGGCGGGGGGGTGGGGGTGGTTGTTCTAGAAGTAAGTAGGACACATGCCCAGCCTCATTAGGCTAAGAAAAGTTCCAGAGATTTTTAAGAAATTGGATTAAGCTAGGTCCCTAACTTCAAGAAATTCCCAGTATAGTCTGTTTCATCTTCCTCTTTTGCTCATTTACAGAAAATAGGGCCCATTTCCTCTCAGCCTCCTTCCCTCGTGCTCCCATATAATGCCCCGTCCTTCCTGGCTGCTGCTGGTTTCTCCAAGGCTCCTGCTTAAAGTCAGTATCTTATGGTGGCTATAAGCAACCTGGTGCTAAGGCCTGGATAAGCCCCGCTTCTGCACCGTCCTCACACCTTGCAACCTCTGCCCCTCAGGGGAGCACAGCACCTGGGGTCCCCCTGGGGGCAGGGGGCATTTCTGCTCCCCAAACCTAAGCTGTTTTGTTTCAGCAGCAAAACAATCACCATCATCCCATCCCCCCATCTAGATGAAGTCTGCTTCCTCCATTGCTCCCTACAGCTATAAGCCAGAGGGGATTCAGGTGAAATTGCCTTTAAACAACACCCCCCCCACCCCCCCCCCACGCATACAATGTGCTGACTTCCCGGGGATTTCAGGAAGCCCCTCCTCCATCCGCAAGTTCATTCTTTCAGTGCCCCTGGCACCTACGTAGACAGGTGTGTGAGTAGATGTGTAGGTTACTCTACATATATCTGTTCCTTCTTCAAAACCATGTTAACTTTGTGAAACAATTTTTACACTCCAACACGCTTCACAGCAGAGGAAATAAAGGAATATGAAAAATATCCTGCTTGAACTTGACAGAGTGAACAAGTCAAGAATACCTTGAAGTTCTCTTGCCACCCTTCTCCCCCCACCTCCCACCTCTTACCTGGCTCCAAGGAGATGGGTGGAGAAAGGACCCCATTTCTCAGAAACTCTTTTTTTTTTTAAGATTTTATTTATTTATTTGACAGAGAGAGAGACAGCGAGAGAGGGAACACAAGCAGGGGGAGTGGGAGAGGGAGAAGCAGGCTTCCCGCCGAGCAGGGAGCCCGATGTGGGGCTCGATCCCAGGACCCTGGGATCATGACCTGAGCCTCGATCCCAGGACCCTGGGATCATGACCTGAGCCGAAGGCAGACGCTTAACAACTGAGCCACCCAGGCGCCCCTCATTCCTAAGAAACTCTTTTTTTTTTTTTTAAGATTTTATTTATTTATTTGAGAGAGAGAGAGAATGAGAGACAGAGAGCATGAGAGGGGGGAGGGTCAGAGGGAGAAGCAGACCCCCCGCCGAGCAGGGAGCCCGATGCGGGACTCGATCCTGGGACTCCAGGATCATGACCCGAGCCGAAGGCAGTCGCTTAACCAACTGAGCCCCCCAGGCGCCCCTCCTAAGAAACTCTTAAGAAAACAATTCCAAAGCCTTTTCTTGGCAAATTTCCCCCAAACTTCACAACTGTCATGAAAAATTATTCCAGAAGTCAGATCAGAAATCCAATAGCTACCTTTGAAGCCCAGAGGCTCAGATTCTTTCAAACCACAGATATCAAACTGTTGAGCGTCTCCCAAATGCTCAGTCCAGAGCCAGATGCTGAAAGACACAACAGTCACCATTTCCCACCAAGGGCAATTTACAAGCTAGTTGCAGAGCTGTGGCGTAAGGAAGACAAACTAGCCGCAGAGCTGTATCGGGGGGTGAAGACCGAAGGTTCTCCAGGCCATGCCGAAGGGCGTGAACCGGGTGCCCGGAAGTCTGTCTTCAGGCAGACGGTTGACTCAGAAGTGAGTTTGTGATCCCCCCTGCCCCCCACCCTGTTTTCTTTAGCATGAAAACTGCCAGATGCTGCCCCACCCCTCCCAATCTGCCTCCTTAACACCTGCTTAGTTCAACTCAGCAGGCTTTCAGTGGACCTCGCCTGCGTGGTCCAAGAATTCAAGGATGGGTAATATACGGGTCCTTGCCCGTGAGGAATTCTTAGCTTGGGAAAGGGGAAAGCCCATGGAGTAATCCCATGTCCTAAGTGTTTGTAGTGATGCCGCGTACAAAGAGCATGGTGGAGAGGGCCTCTACCCCCGTGGAGGGACACCAGAATGGCTCCTGTCATTTGAGCTGGATCTTCAGGGATGAATCAGATTTTGCCTGGTGGGGGAAGCGGACCGGGGGAGGTAGGGGAAGCGGGGGCGGGGGGGGTGGGGTGGGGGATGGACATAACCAGGAGAGGAAACAGCATGAGCCAAAAGGTAGGAAGGCATGGAGTAGTGCCTGAGGAAGGGAGAGGAATGGGTTTAGGTCACAGAGTTATGTTGCTACAGGCCCTCAGCAGGGAATATATCCCTGTTGTCCAAAAAGCAGCAGGGTTCCTGAAATTTCCATGCCCGCCCATGAAAGGGGCAGCAACAGGGTCAGCTGGCCAGACTCCTGTCCCCACAGCCTGCCACCTCCTTTCCATCAGCATGCTTTGTGCTTCTCCTAATGAGACACGGGGATTAGAAGGGTCCCGCACCTCCGGCCCCTTCGTGCAGGCCCCCAGGGAGCAGAGCCACATGCCCCAACAGCATGAAGGTTAGCGCGTTCCCACGCAGGTCACACACGCATGCCATGGACAGTCCTGAACTCCACGGGAACTAGAGCGTGTGACCGGCGAGCTTGTAGAAGCGAGAGTAGAAGCTGGGAGAGGGTCTGAGATGAGACTACTGCGCCGAAGGGGCTCTTTCCTGGGGTGCGGGGTGGGAGTGGGAAGGGCTGCCTGCGCATGCGCTCTAGGAAGACTGGCTGTGCTTGGGGGGCCGAAGAGCTTAAAAAGCGCGTGGGGGACGACCAATTGCGGGTGCGTGTCTCCAAGAAAGTGGGGGGGAGAGTGGGGGCAGGCAGCAGGGGGAATGAATGAACAGTCTCATTTGCTTTCCTCGCAGGGAATAAAGGGCGTGGGATGGGACGGGGAGGGGGAGCGGAGCCCAGCCTGCCTGGGGGAGGGTTAGTCTCTGCCTGCAAAGCCCAGGCTGTGCAGAGAGAGTCGGGGAGGACAGCGCGCCAAATGTACCATCTGCTTCCTGGGCACCCTGCTGGCTCCTGGGCTACCTTCCCCTCCACCCAGCAGAGCCCCTGTTGGTGCCTCTCCCCAGATGGTGAGCTGCCAGGGGCACGGAAACAGGTGTCCCTTTGGTGACCAGGTCCTTGGGCTGGGGGATGCCGCCTCCTCACCGGCTGGCGCCCAGGAACACCGCAGGCCAAGCACTGCACCTTGGGCCAGGTTGTGCGATCTGCCCCTTCACCTGGCATGCCAGGGCAGAGATGAGTCCTGCCAAGGCCATCTGTTCCGAGGGCATCGAGGCACATGGTCTCGGAACTGGGGTGTGCAGGGTAGGGGGGATAAGGTGAAAAGGGGCAAGGTCATATGAACAAAGGACAACTCTCTGGCCTGGGCGTCAGGAAATCTAGGCCCTGACCCTGGCTCTGTGTGACCTTGGGTAAGTCACTGCACCTAGCTGGACCTCAGTCTCTTGTCTGTTGGATAACCCAACTTCAGTCCACGTCTGTTGGACTACATGATCTTCCAGGAGCTTCACAGCCAGGATTCAGGGTCTGGTCGGGGGAGGGAGGAGGGAACAAGGGGCAGCATTGAAGAACTCCCTTCAAACACTTAGCCGTGCCCCCCGCCCCCCCCCTCCTGCCTTCACACTGCAGCACGAGGCACCAAGCAAACGAGAATCCTCCTGATACAGACATCTTTGGTGGGGGATGAGGGGAGATGATTCTTCTCAGCCCCCTGAGGACCCCACACAGTGGCTTCTGGTGTTCATGATTGGGGCCCAATCTCAGCAGATGGAGAAAAGTTCTTGTATCCTCCTTGCCATCATCATCATCATCATCATCCTGGAACTTGAAATTGGTCTTCAAATCCTACCTCATCCCCCATTCACCTTCTCTTGGACCAGAGCCTCCCTCTGGTGATTTTGGTTCAGTCATGGTCCCATGTTGGGGCTCCAGGTGGTGGGTGGCAGTGTGGTCAGAGTGCCTTAATTCAGCCTCTTTGAATCTTTGGATTCCATCTGAAAAAAGCTAGAGAGGCAAGCCCCATCCCTCTGAGTGCTCCATCACCTGTTGCCCGCTCCCTTAGAGAGAAGAAACTGCCAGCCCTCTCAACAGTGGCTTGGAAAAGAGAAAAGCAGCAGACAGAGAAAGAGAAGGAGAGGTGAGGGTGGGAGGTGGGGAGGGGTGCATATGAGGGTGGGAGTGGAGGGGGTAGAGGGAGAGAGAGAGAACGCCCTCTCACCAAACAAAAGACTGGGATGGGGTTCCCGCTGAGCAGAGAGGAGGGGAAACAGCTGGACACCAGGAAGAAGAGAAGTCTGATTGGCCACATGCTGGCCTCAGCCAGCTCCCCGCCTGTACCCTGGCCCACGCAGACGGCCTTTCCACCAGTGTCCCCATTTCTCTGGAAGCTGCGAGGCTTGGTTCTGAAACAAGAGTGCACCTGTGGGTAAGGTTCAAGGTTTGGGGCCCTTGGGCCCCTTTGGGATGCAAATGAGGGGCCTGGGTGCAGGCGGGCAGGATTGGGGGGAGTGGAAGGAGTTTAGGGCTCTAAGCAAGGGAAGTTGGAGGGTGGGGATGGGGGAAGGCTCTGATGAAGAGCTCACTCTTGCTACCGCAGAGGGCTTACCCCTAGCCCAGCTAAGGTTAACAGAGGGGGAGAATCTGCTAGACACTTAGGCAGCTGGCTTTGGGGAGGGCTGCACTATCACAAACACACCAGCTCCCTCACACGCACGCCACATACATTCCCGCCCCGCTCCGTGCATATGAGCATAAACGGACACACGTTCATCACGCGCTCACGTGCTCATCGTGCACATACACAATTACCTGTGCACACACGCAGACACCCAGGGAACGCTCTAGATATGCACACAATCCCACGGCCACATACAAAGAACACGTTTGTTTCTGTAATCATTTGTTTCTAAAAAAGCTGCATTTAGAAAGTATATTTTATAAACCAATGTTCTTTTTTAGGCTATATGTCAGCTTTTAAACCCATGTCCTCTGAATGCACTAGGTGTGCCCTATTTATTTCTGCACCCCCAGAGAAAAGTCCAGTGCCTGGAACATAATAGACACCCCATAAATGTTTGTTGAGCAAAGGGGTGAGTGAATGAATAATCTTTTTTTTTTTTAAAGATTTTATTTATTTATTTGACAGAGAGAGACCCAGCGAGAGAGGGAACACAAGCAGGGGGAGTGGGAGAGGGAGAAGCAGGCTTCCCGCCGAGCAGGGAGCCCGATGCGGGGCTCGATCCCAGGACCCTGGGACCATGACCTGAGCCAAAGGCAGACGCTTAATGACTGAGCCACCCAGGTGCCCCAGTGAATGAATAATCTTTTAAAAAGCCACAAGACTCCTTGATGATGAAGTTTCTCTAAACCTAGCTTAGTGACTAATGGTTGTACTCTGTGTGTGTGGTTGTACAAGAGAGAACATCCGTATAAATGCACGAGAGTGTGCCTAAGTAAGAGGGGGTGTGCATGCGAGGAGTAAACGAGCCTTTGCCAGGTGTCTACACACGACTGTGTGAGTGAATAGAAGCGTATGTGTGAGCATGTAGGCACTAAAGTGGGGTGGCGGTAGGAGGGCCTGGCAGGAGATGCTCCCGCCAAGATAGCCCCAGCCTTTGGGGGGCTTGCACATGCAATGAACGCACCGCACTGAGTGTATCATGAATGGCGTGGGTCTGCAAGTGTGGGGGCGGGAAGTGGGGTAAGTTTGTGAGCGGTTCCCATGAAGCCGAAGCTCGAGAGAGCCCTGTCTCTTAGATGGCTGCCCTTCCTCCTGCGCACTCCCCAGGACTGGACGCTTAGGTGATTCAGTCCCATCTTCATTTCTGCTGCCGCCTCCTCCCAGGGCCCCCATGAAGCTCCTGGCTTTCCTGAGCCTGCTGGGTCTGGTGCTGCTGGGGGCAGGGACAGCTTCTCTCCCCAAGGAGAGGAAGAGGAGAGATCAGACGCTCGGGGAAGGCGATGCTTATGCAGTCCTGGACAACTATGACCTGGGCCTGGACAACTACGACGAGGTCATTGACCTGAGCGACTATGAGGGGCTCACGGACTATGGGGACCAGCTCCCCGAGGTAAGGGGCACACAGCAGACCAGCGGCATTCCCTGCAAGACACTGGGCATCGGGGGCCTGGCCCCTCTCCCGCTGTCTACCGTGCAGGCCTTCCAAGCCTCCATTCTTTCTCCAGGAGGAGGAGATGCTTGTGCTTCCGTAGAAACTTGTCACTTAGATGATACTAAGAAAGAGGACAACAAAAGTTCAATTTCTTAGCTGGTTTGTAGTAAACTTGATGGGATCCTCCCCTGCTTAGAAGTCCTATATCTGTCCCCCTGCCTTTAAGTCAGACCATAAACCATATCTCACTGGGAGGGGCGGGGGTCAGCCATGTCTTCATACTTTCACTAGAAAAAGAAGCCCCACAACCCTGTCTGCTCTTAGGCTGTCTTCTAGTCTGAAGTCCTTTCTTGGCCCTTCCTGGCCTTTGCAGGGGCTGATCCAAAGCCTGCACCCATTAGCTGTGTGAGCGTGGTCAGCGCCCCTCCCTGGGCCCATCTCCTTCTCCATATAAGGAAGATGCTGCTCTTTAGGAAGTTCCCTTCCTCCCTCCCCTTTTCTCCACGGTGACTCTTCGCAAGTTTGAAACTGGTCACTGAGGCCCCCAGAGTTCAAAATAAAGTCCTTCTCAGGCAAAAACTCGCCTACTGTGTGCTGTGTGCTCTGTCCCCAGGTCAAAGTGACCAGCCTGGTTCCTCCAACCAGGATCGGTTCCACTCAGAGCACAGTGACTCCGAGGAAACTCTCTTCAAAGCCCAAGATGAGCCGGCCTACGATGCTGGGCCTCCTGGACTCACCAAGCAGCCACAGTGAGTTCACGGTCACAGGTCCCGATGCACATGGGTCATAGGCCATGCAGCCATGACCCGGCACTAGGCCTACCATGGTGAAGTGTTCAGGGTAGGGAGTGAAAGGTTGGGGCTAGCCCTCACTGTAAGGGAGAGGAGGAGAAATAGCCACAGGAAGAACAGAAAGAAAAAAAGAAAGAAAGAAAACCCAAAGGGGGAAGCTGGCTATCCCTAATGCTTTTGGCTAAATGCACAAATTGGATAGGAGGGAGAAAAAAAAAAAAAGAAAAAGTCAGCACTCTGCTATGCTTAGCAGAGCCACCCTACCTTAATTAACAGCATCACTAGGGGACCAGTTTGAGTGGTAATTAGATTAGAGACAATTAAAAGCCTGTTGAGAAGAATAAATAACTTCGTGGCTGTCACTTGGCATGGGGGCAAATGAGGCAGTCATACTGCTTTTCGGCTCTAAATTCCCCCCTTAGCAGCTCTTTTCCCCTCCCTGATGCCCTCCTGGAGACGGGGATGCTGGCATATCCGGCAGGGAAAGGTTGGCGCTCTGCTGGGCATCAGGACTGGAGCAGAGGAGGCATGCAGTTAATTCCTGACTTGCTTGGCCCTGGCTCCTGTTCTCTTGAGATATTTGCCTTGGGTGGATCTAGGGTATTGGGGCATCAATAGGAATCTGTGACCTCTCAGAGCTACAGGATCTCGGGCTTAAAGAGACCCATAAAGGGCCTCAGCTGCATGTGTCATTCAAGGCCTTGGGCTAAGAAGGACGCTGAGATCATCTCTGCTCCACCTACCTTGGTCACTGCCTGCAAAGAAGAGCTGCCTCTTCACTGTGGGGCTGTGTCACTGCTAGCCGACTCCCCCTTGAGTTGGACGACTGCTGGTCTCCCATTATCTCTGTCCCTTGTAATGGCGAGTGATGGAAACCACCTGCACTCTTCAGGCCTATGAGCCCGTAGAGCCTCCCAACTTTTTAAAGCCAGTTTGGGTTGGATGGCCTGGCCCATGTCTGATGACCACTGGTCATGGAATGAGAACAGGAGAGAGCTGTTGCCCAACAGAAAACTGGGATGCTGACCCCCTAAGAAGGGGAAATGAATTCTGGGCAAGCAGGGTCCACTCCACCGTGGCTTTCTTGCACTTCTCAGAGCCATACAGAACATGCTCCTCACCCACAAGGCAGCTGGCAGGGCGAGCAACTATTGGCCAGTCCACTTAATTCTGGCTTTATTTCATCGTCATTGTGCCTTTTGGGACCAGAGAGGAGCCTTATAGAAAAGAGACCGATGGATGTCCTAGAAACACCCACCTAGGCCCAGAAAAACCTACAGAGGACTGGAGCCTGATAAAAGCACCAGGGGGCCGGGACTGGGTAATAACTGGGAATGGATCTGCCTCTCTTAGGTTGGGGGCTGAGTGCCAGGCTGGGAGCAGCCAACACTGTGACCTTCCGTTCGGGCCATGGCTCAGCCACTCCCTGAGTGAGCACCATTGGTCCCAGAGGCTAAAGGAGGTCTGAGGAGGGTCTCCCTTTGTTCTGTCTTCCACCTGGGCCAGGCCTGCCCACATGTCTGGTCTGCGTGTGCCTCGGTTCCTCCGTGTACTGTGACGATACTGACCTGGAGAACATCCCTCCTCTTCCCAAGACAACCACTTACCTGTACGCCCGCTTCAACCGCATCCGCCGGATCCGCGCCGGAGACTTCGAAGGGCTGAGTATGTGGTGCCCTGGCAGAAGACGAGGGCAGGCTTGGCAGAGGGAACCCCCAGGCCCTCTGCCTTGCCCCCCCCCGCAGCCACATGAACAGTCACAGACACGGTGTCCCACCTGAGTTAGCCTTTCCCTGCTAGCTTTCAGTCTACCCAGTACCCAATGGAAATAGCCCCAAGTCTCTCTAATCCCTTCCCTTGAAGATTTTGGGTAATAAAAGTGCCCCGTTTCATGTGTTCTCCCCAAAGCTCTGGAAAGCTGGGAAGGGGAAGATAGGATCAAGCCTACATTTTCAGGATTCTGAGGCACTGTAGCTCTGCACCCTCCTGGCCTCTGGACAAGGCCGGGCTAAATCAGCTCCATAGCCCTGATGCTGTTTACCTGTTTGCTGTTTGTTGTGTGTTTTGCTCCCTTATGCCTTATACTCTGCCTCAGCTAGGAGACCTGGGCTCTCATCCAGACTCTGCCACTAATTCCCACAGCCTTCTGGGCCACAGCATCCTTTTATGTAAACCAGCGGTGAAGGGTGGGGGTGGAATGGGTCCAGGCATCGGTGGGCCTGTTGGGTCTTGCCTCTACCAAACCCATCCAAGGTGGGCAGCCACCACAGAGGATAGAACTCCAGGTATTGGAGTTCTGTATTGCAGAATCTGAGGGCTTTCCAGGGGGTCCTGGTTTATGATGTTATTCTCCCCGCTGGGACCCCATGCAGGTGGAGAACTGGCTGGCCTTCCCCATCTTAAAAGGGATGGAGCAGGGTACAGGTGGGTCCAGCAGGGGCAAGGAAAGATGACAGGTCCTGTGTCTCTCTGTGTTCTCCCCCATGCCCCATAGCAAAACTGAAGAGGATTGACCTTTCCAGCAATGCCATCTTCTCCATTGATGATGATGCTCTCCGGCTGCTGCCTGCCCTGCAGGATCTGATCCTCCCAGAGAACCAACTGGCATCTCTGCCCGTGCTGCCTGCCAGCATCGAGGTCCTGGACGTCCGCCTGAACCGGCTCCGGAGCTCGGGGATACAGCCTGAAGCACTCAGGGTGAGCCAGGGCATGTAGCCCACCCTCTCCCACCTGCCACCCATGCCCACAGCCACACACACACGTGCGCACGCACACACACACACACACACCAGGCCCTCCTGGGATAGCCCAGCTCCAACCCTATTCTGGGTCTGAAAGTCAAACCCCATTTTCTTCATCTGTTCCCATTGTTTTATTAAACTTTTTGGTTGTTGTTGTTGCAAGAGACCAATTCTGACTCAAGAAAGAGTGTTTAACAACATGCCAGCCCAAGAACCTCCAGGAGAAGGAAATTCAGGCCTGTTATTGGAAATGGGGGGTTGGGGGGCATCAGAAGCCAAGGTCAGCAGCTTTCCCTCTCCCTCTCCCGGTCACGCAATCTCTTGGCTTCTCTCCGTGTGTCCATTCCGTTCACCTGTCTGCACCCTCAGCTTCTGCTCCCCGAAAACATTGGCTTGACGTGACTTGCAATAGTGCTGACTCCAAGACTAACTCTACAGAAACCTTTATTTCCAAAACCCAGCACTAACTAATCATTGTCTTTCTGTGAGCAAGTGCTTAAGGGAGACAATCTGACTGATCGCTGGCTGGCCGGTTCTGATGGGAAGGGCTAAACACTGGGCACAAATCGGGCCCCAGCAGCTGCCCACTCGACAGGGCTCGGATGAACTCCAGGAGTAGTTCCGGTGCGGAGATGACGAGCAGCATGGTCACGCCTGCCCCCAGCTCCGTCACACTTGCAGACTTAGTTTTGCCTTGGGTGCCTGTGGCTCTCATTCAGTGGCTCTGGATGTGTCCTGAACATGTTCTTCACAGCCATCCTGGGTTTAACGTTTGGAGACTTTTCATTTGGGAAAATCCCTTTCTGATAGCAGAAAGGCTGAGGCTGGACTGAACTGTCCCCTTGTCCTCCCTTTCATGCCATCCCTGCCCCTTGCCCACCCCTCACCTGCTGCTCATTGCAGCTGACCAACTCCTTCACGCCCCCCCAGCTGCCAGACCTCAGTGGCAGGCGCGATCCTTCTGCATCCGGTGGGAGTTAGGGCCTGTGAACTCCCGAGAGACTGGGTGTCCCCTGCAGCCCCCAGTGCCGAGCCTGGCACATGGCTGAGGCTCAAGAGACCCTCAGGGAACGAATGGGGTCACATCAGGCGCCCATCCCTGCCGGGTCCAGCAGCCCCTGCCAGCCTCCCATGCCCTTTGCCTCCTCCCTAGGCGCTAGAGAAGCTGCAGTTCCTCTACCTGGCTGACAACCTTCTGGACTCCATCCCTGGGCCTCTGCCCCCGAGCCTGCGCTCACTGCACTTGCAGGTGAGCAGCACCCCCCCAAGAGCAAGAGCATTGAATACAGCCCAGGGGGTGGAGGTCAGATAACCGGGAGCCTCCTTAGGCAGCAGGGGCAGGCGTCTCCTTCACTGAGAGCTCACCGGAGACAGGGATCGGAGGTCTTGCCCAGGCCACTGTCCACAGCCTCGGCGTGACGGCCTTCCTTTCCTTCTCCTGAAAGAGCTTCCTGTCCTTCCATGTCCTTCCTCCCATCTCAGCTGACGGCTTGTTCCTCCCCTGCCTTCCCCTCCGCTCTGTCTCCTCCTTCTCCCTCGTCCCTCTTACTCTCTCCCCTGGCTCTCCATCCATCCTCCACGCGCCGCCTCTCCTCCCTCCTTGCTGCATGGCCTTGGCCTTACGTGCCTCGGTTTCTCCACTCTCAAGAGGGGAGCTGCTGGGGAGAGCTGACGGATGCGCCTTCGGCGCTGCCTGAGGGCACTCTCCAGGCAGAGGTTGGCAGCTATCAGTGTGTTCTTTCCAGAATAACATGATAGAGACCATGCAGAGCGACGCCTTCTGCGACTCCGAGGAGCACAAACACAGCCGGAGGCGGCTGGAAGACATCCGCCTGGACGGCAATCCCATCAACCTGGGTCTCTTCCCCAGCGCCTACTTCTGCCTGCCTCGGCTCCCCACCGGCCACTGCTGCTAGTTCACTGGCCGCACTGGGGAGGCCCTCACCGCCTTCCGCAGGCGCCCGGCGCCTCCGCACGATGGGCTTTCGCTCGGGCCGGAATTGGCCTCCGGATCCAGTTGCAAAACTCACCCCCACTCCCTTCCGCCACCTTCTACACGCTCGTGTGCACACACGCACACACGCATGCACACACGCACGCACACGTACACACAGATACACAGAGACACATACATGCGCGCACACACACACGTGCGTGCGTTAATGTCCTTCAGTAGCCAAATTTGCATTTCTCACCCTCTTTCCTTAACAACTTATGGCTCCTGACTCAGAAGAGCAGCATCTGCAGCAAAGCTCATTGCCATATTCCCCATCCCCCCTACCCACACGGAATGCCAGGAAGTCATGGAAGAGGAAGAGGAGAAAGAGAAGGAGGAAATCGGGAGAAGCAGTGGCGGGCTTCAGCCAGCTCTTACTACTAGGCTTGCTTGCAGAACCAATTATTACATTTTCCAGAATTTTGTAAGCCAGTCGTTAAACACAGCTTTTATTAAAGATTAAATTATAAGCTCACATTTAAATATATTAGGTTGAAAATAAATGTAATGAATACTCAAACTCATTCCTTTCCCATTATTTTACTATATTTTACTAGTAACCATGTTCTTGAACTTATTTATGTCTATGACATACTATATAATGACATACCCCTCGTGCTCATCTCTTCCCAGCGACACTCAGTGACATCACATTGGTAGTTTGAAATTGGCCGTGGTGAGAATATTTACACCCCAGAAATCAGTAAATGCTACATGCCTGGATCCTTTGAGAGAGAAAGCTGGTGGTTAAGCATTTACCAGCACACCACTGAGGAGAAAGAAGAGCTATTTCACCACTAGGGGTAGGGTGGGGTTTCTATGGGACTTTCTTTATTTTCTTGCTCTTCCTAGGCCAAGCGCTGCCTGTTAGATCTAGAGGGAGCCGTTCATAAGGATGGAGGCTGACAGGAATCTTCACTTGGATGCCCTCTTTGTAGCGCTCCCCTGTTCCTGGCTTACTGGACAGCCTCTGAGCGTGGCTCCACCAGAGCCAGCGGGTTTCCATCCTTGCCGTGCCCTCTTCCATGGTTAACCACCAGAGGGCAGCCTCGTGCAGAGAAATAAATAAATACAGCGATTTCTCACCTGCAACCTTGGCTTCTGGGCGAGGTCTGCTGTGATGGGAGATGGGAAGAAGGCCAACTATGATCTAGTTGACTTGTTCCTTGAATTATAAAGAGAGGAGCGATGTCACCCTTCTCCTTATAAGGAGATGTTGGGCAAGAAGGACCTAAGAGATGGGTGCTTGGCATCGGGGGTTGACTGAAGCATAGAAGAGGGTTGAGGCAGGCAATTTTATTGAGCACCTACCTGCCATGTGCTGGGCACCGTGTCCCATGCTGGTGATGAGATGACGTGTAACAGACATATTCCTTTTCCTCGTGGAGCTTAGAGTCTGGCAGAGAAAACACATGGGCAACAGTCACACAACCACACTATACAACTCATGACTCTGACGGTAAGAGGAATCCACCGAGTGCTACGGGAGCTTACGGGGGAGACCCAGTCTAGGAGGCCAGCAGACCTGGAAGAAACAACATCTAAGCTGAAACCTGAGGGAGAAGTAAGAGTTAGCCAGGCATTCCGTTGTCAAGGCAATCACTCAAGGTGCAGGGCGTGGGGGGGTCCCCAAGTCTGGCTGGGCCCACATGACAGCCATTGCACTCATCTGCGTCCCCTGCATGTCTAGCACCCCTCCAAGTACTTTGGATCCTCAGGACAGTCCTGTCAGCAGACAAGGCAGGGATTCTTAGTCACATTCTTGAGATGAAGAAATCAAGAACTCCAGAAGATAAAAGCGCTTACTGGAGCTCACGTGGCTAGCTGAGGCTTGGACCGAGACACAACACACAGGTTGCAAACGGAGTGGGAAGTCTTAAAGGTGAGAGGTGCCCTCGTGGTTCCTGCGCTGCCTGCCCCCTCTCTCCTAGAGACCCAGGGATGCCGGCACTGGGACCTGGAAAACTGTGAGCCAATAGCTCCTGTCTTTCTGAGCAGTAGAGAGCAGTAGAATTTCAGAACGGTGAAGTTCTGCCCCTTCCTCTTCCTGTCTTCCAAGGAGCTCGTTACAGTAGGAGGGCTCTCCGTCTCTCTGCCTCTCCCTGTCTCTCTCTCTCATCCACCAGTCCTATCTTCTTCCATGTCCGGCTTTATTGGATTACGACAAGGCCTAGGCATGCAACAGCTGAAAGCCTCAAGATCCCCAACTGCAAGAAACCATGGCTTGGAAAAAAAAAAAAAAGAGAGAGAATTTTCCAGAACTGGGGTTCCTGGGGGCTAGAAACCACATCATACGCACATGCCCCTAGGTTAATCTGTGCTGAGTACAGAAAATCATCTGACCCCCTCTCTAGGGCAGAGAAGGGTGCCAGTAATTCCTGGACTCCTGGAATTTGCCAGATACCATAATAGAAGCTATTATGCACATCAACTCATCCAATCCCAACAACCCTAGAAAGTAGGGATGTTTATCCCACGCTGGAGGTGAGGCAACAGGCATACAGAAGGGCCAGGGCCCGAGGACCACAGCAGTAAGCGGCAGAGTCTGGATTCAAAACAGGGGCCCTCCCGGCACGGGGTCCCAAGTCCTGCTGTCATGCCTCACGGCCGCATGGGCGCCCCTTTCAAGGCCAGTGGAGGGAGGCAGCTCCTGACCGTTGCTTTCCTGAGGCTGGGACAGGATCTCCCGGGGGACCGGCTGCCTTTGCAGCTGTCTTCCTCGCTCATCTCCCGTTTGGGGCTCGGGAAGCCCAAGGAATAGAATGAATGTCCTTGTTGGCTGCCTTGCCGAAGAAATTCTAAACAGCGCACCTGTCCCCAGGCCCCTCCGGAATCCAGAGAGGGGCTGGGCGGGGCGAGAAATCCGAGGCGGCTCCCAGCAGCTATTCCAGCCTGAAGGAAGGAGCCGAGGCTCTGACTTCTCGGGGGCCTAAAGCGGTTAGGGTCAGGCTCCCGGCCGGGGAGCAGAGAGCACCTCTTATCCAGCGCGAGGCCCTCCTGTCCTGCCGAATGGCCAACACTGAGGGTGGGTGGATGGGAGTCAGAGAGGAGACCACGGCGGGGAGAGAGGGGCAGTCAGGCACGAGGGCGGCCTCACCGCCAGGGAACAGTCCGAGGTTGGCTCAAAATCCACCCCTTCCAAGAGCAGGACTCTCCAAGCCTCCCTCATCTGGGTCGTCAGTGGCCATCAGCACCTGTGCTCAACCTTGGCCATCTTGATGACGGCCCTGGCTCTTGGGTGGCTCCCTAGGGGGCCGTCCTGCCAGCCCTGTAGGAGGAAGCACCTCTCCCCTCTTCAGCACCCCATGGCCTTGGGACCTCTGCCTGGCCCTGTTCTGTGAGGCTCGGAGGAGGAGGGAGGGGACACCAGCAGCGGGAGTTTGCAAAGACTGTCCCCCATCTGCTCGTCCTCAGCTTCGCAGCAAGGCCAGGGCCAGAGGGGACGGGTGGGGAATGGAGGGTGCCAGGGAGTGACCCCACCTAGACTTTTCTTCCTCCTACCTTTCCCCTTAGTCTCCTCCCTGAGGAATAATCTCTTATGTTTGTGCTGCGAATTTGCACTCTACAGAGCTCTTTTACATCCGGGATTTAATGTATAGTCCCACCAACTCTGTGAGGAAGGTGTTATTACCCCTACTTTCCAGATAGACTATGGGAGCCTGAGTGATTTGTTCAAGAGCGAGATGACTTAACATATAGGAAAACAAGACTGGGGGCACCTGGTTGGCTCAGTCGGAAGAGCATGAGGCTCTTGATCTCTGGTTGTGAGTTCGAGCCCCACGTGGGGTATAGAGATTACTTAAATAAGCCGTCATTTCTTGGGAACTCCTGCAAGAGAAATGAGAAATCTCATCCCCAGCTGCTGGAGCAAAGGATGAGCCCACTCCCTCCCCAGCCCCTGAGAGCTCTTTGACCAGCAAGGAGTGGGGAGAGCATCTTCCGGGCTGAAAAAATGGGAGCCGCCCTCAGACCTGAGTCCTGAGCCTGCCTCAAGGCCGTCAGGGCCCCGAATCCTGATGGAGCACACGAGGTAATGGGGTGGTTGTGGCTTCGGACGATCTGAGCTCAGGAAAGCCCTAGGGCTCAAGGACACACTGCCCCCCATCTCTGCCCCCACCCCACAGGCACGTGGGTGGCCCAGCACCCACATGCCCGTGTCTGCGTCCTTGTTGCTAGGGCCCCAAGGAGGGAGGCAGACAGACGGAGGTGGACAGGGCTCTGCCCCGCCCCCTCCACCGTCTGGAGCGTTCTCCTCTCCTTCCTCCGCCCGCCTCTCCCCTCCCCCCACGCTACACACCAGCTCGGTTTTGCCCCTCCTCTCTCTCAAGGTTGTCTCTGGGGCGGCTAGCTTCACCTTCTCCAGCTTCCACCATCTCTTCTCACACATCTCCTTCCTGTAGCTGCTGCCGGCCGGAACCAGGGTCTCCTTATGGAGACAGCATGTGGCTTTCCCCCCACCCTTCCCATGTCTCCCTTCTCCTCCAGGGGTGACAAAGCAGCCGAGGGACCACCTTCTTCCTTCTTCACTGCAATAAACTCTCCAAACTCAGGCCTCCTTCTCTTTAGACCACCCTGTGCGTCCCTCCCAGGCGTGGCCAAGCCTGTGGCCCTGGGCATGCCTGAGCACCCCCTCCCTAGCACACCCCCCCCCAGCATGCACCCAGAACACACTGCCCTTTCTTCTGCCCCTTTCCCCCCCTCCACCCCCCGAAAGTTTTCTGTCTCCTTGCCCTTTGTCCCCTCCTGTGCCCTGGGCACCAGAGCAAACAGCTTCTAGCCTTTTCCTGCAGCATGGTGCCAGCCCTGTCTTCCAGAATCCTTGTCTTTAGTGTATGTCCAACACACGGTTCATACACAGGAGGGGGTGCAGTGTTTCCTGCTGTGGCCACCTGCAAAGGGACTGCGGTGCAAGGAAGCGAGCACTAGAATGAGAGCCTGCAGCCCCAGGCCCCCGACTTGCTGGGTGACACGTGGCAGGTCACACCAGCACCTTACTCTGTCCACCTTCCCCTTGGAGCTCCCTGGGCCCCAGCTCCCTCGTGCAAAGCACATCCAAGCCTGAAGGGTGTTGTCTCTATCCCATCCCCATCCCATTCCTACTGTTCCCGGCGACACAGACCAACAGTGACAACGAGATGCCAATGGTAAAGGAGAACTAAGGGAAGCAAGGACAGAGAGTACGGACAGCACAGGACACGTCCCATCTCCCAAGTCAAGGTGCCTGATCCCAAATCAATTGCCCTCTGACCCTAAAAGCCGGCTTAGCTGCAAGCCTTCCTGAGCCCCTCTTGGGTCCCGCAGAAAAGGGAACAATCCAAACTCTCCCACCTGGGCCCAGGAACCTTTGACAGGGACGCCTATGCTGACCCATCTTGACACAAGAAGCAACAGGTCTTGAACCGCATGCGGTATGTAATCAACAGATGCCCACCAAAGGATTACCAAATGCAAGCTCAGGAGGGGTGCTCCCTCCCCCAGAGGGGACCCTGCATCCCAGAATAGGCTCCTGGAGCCTGGC